TTGTGCACAGGTGACATTTTCCTTGATAGGAATGTGGATTTTTCAATACCACAAAGACTGTCATTTTTGCATGGACATAGAATTTGTATTTTTTTCATAAAGAGCTTGTGCACGTCTGGGAGCAGAAAGTGATACTGTAGAAGAGACTGCAAATATGGTCTGCAGCTCTCTGATCAAGACAGCTAGCCACTGCCTCGGTGAAAAACTTCTCTGAGGAAATGCTCTTGATAGTGGGAGCATCTCCACACATTGCAAAGTCACTCACAAGATGAATTTATCAGCTACAAGCACTTCCCATTCCTAGAGCATGACAAGACAGGCTCTTCATTGTGGTGCATGCAGGAATGGGACGCTTTGGCCTGCATGGCAGTAATTTCCCTGAGGATTAATGCCCTCCGTTACTGTTTCAAACAGTGGTTTTGGTTCTTATGCCAGCAACTTTTGCCCATTTCAGCGCACAAACAAGAGAAAGAGGAAATTATCTATAGAGAAAGTAAAAAAGCTCAGTGCTGTAGCTTGAATTACAACTCTCTTTTCTCTCTTCGTCCTTCTTTCCCCCCTCCCCTCATTTTTCTTCAGTCATTACAGTAAATGCAGCAAGAAAAGGAAACATCGGGACACCAACTCTTATATTTGATCTTTGAAGGACAGCACTGAGCAATGAACCTTGTTCCCATACTGGGATTTTTTTTTTTTTTACCACAGACTGCGACTTTAAAGTTCACTGCAGAGTGCAGATCCATGTTCTTCTGAGCAAAAGAGCATTCAAAATAAATGGTGTATTTTTCTATAAATATGAAATAAATACTTTTTTTTTTCTGAGTATGATGTTTGCAGGAAGGGAGTGCTCTGTGGTTCTTGGTAGGAGCTTTAAGAAGATGCACTTTCCAACTCAGTGATCAATTATTTATTATATTTTCAACTTCTTTGTTTATTAGTATATAATTTTAGAATCTACCTCTGGTCAGGAGAGTTAGAAAGGGTGTTGATTGTTTAAGATTTTAATGATTTGGAAGGGAGTGGATAAGTATTTGAGCCCTTTTCTTTTGCCCTTAAAAAACCTGGACAAACAGAAGAACTGATGGATCAGGAAGAAGGATGCTGATCACAGAGATACTGAGGTGGTATTTCTCTGGTTGGGAAGGATGGGAATTCATAGTTGTGCCCTGAGATACGCTCCCATCAGAATTCTCCATTCGCATTAATCCCTCCCCTCCTTTCTGGGATTTGCGTATGTTCCCAAACTGCTCTCCTCAAACTGGGGTCCATGGGTCTTTCAAAGGGGAGGAGCTTTTCTCTGCTCTTCCCTGATGGATGCCCTTTTCTAACCATCAAGAGAGACATGCTAATTTTTCCCCTCTAAAATATTCTCTCTGTTCATCCTTATAAACTAGTTCCTCTACCAGAGTCACTCCCCAGATTATCTCTTCTCCCTGTTCTTATTTCTGTTCTTATGACTGGTTAAGTTTTCTTGGAAGGAAGAGCAGAGCTGAGAGCTTTACTTATGCATGGACCCAGTTGTTTGACGGCTGAATGGCAGCAGAAGTGTTTGGATCTGTGCCTCTGCGATCGGAGAGCAGCACCACACAGGCTTCCCTTTCAGCTATACTAATTTCTTCACCAAACGCTGGATCCTAGCCACAGAAAGAAAATCCACTCTGTGAAATGAGGGGACCAAGAAGATGTGGTATTCAGATGCTGTCCTGTGCCATTGGATAATCAAAAGAAAAAAAAGAAAAGAAAAAAAGAGAAAGAAAAGAAAAAAGGTCATTGACAGGTCATTGAGTTGTTGTAAAGGGATTTGTAAGTGCAGAAAATAACAAATCTGCTATAGGACTGAGTTTTGAAATTCATACCACAAATGAATCATACTACATTGTGATCTGTGCAGCTGAATGACCACCGTCCAGTCGAACCACCTGAAAAGTGCAGTTTCCTGCACAAGGGGATTTCCTACAGTGTCCAGCGTAGCGTGGTGAGGAGTGTGCTATGCCCCGCAACAGCTCCCAGCCCTCCCTGCTTTCTCCCATACCATCAGCCCACTTAGAGGAAAATAGGACCTTTGCTTGCCATGTAATGCTTTCATACTTTGAACAGCTGGAAATACAGAGCTGTCTTTCAAGACTGTTTTTAATTTACTCAGAGGATAGGATGCTTAAAATAGGGTAGTTAGGATGGGGGAGGATATTAGCAAAAGTCACTGAATACTGCAAGAAAGGAAACTAAATGAGCATCTCAAAATATGTCTGGCTAATTGGCGATATCTAGAATATGATCTGAATATGGAGCTACCACTGGATGAAGAAAACAACTTGGTCTTCTGCAGCCCACTGCAGTGAGCGCCTTCTGGGCAAGCTTGTGGAAAGCCAGCTCTGAAGCGGGTTCGTGGTGTTGCATGAGCCTTGCACTGGCCTGAGCAAACCCAGCCAGACGGGTGGGAGCTTGACCTTGTGGGGCAGGTACAGCCTTCAGAGAGGCTCTCAGTTCCTTTTCACGCTTCTCCTTGTGAGCTTTAATTTTGAAATTGAAGCAATCTTAGAAGGGCTATGAAAATCATTGAAGGCTCTGGCCTGACAAAGCAATGTCAATACTGTTTGCCAGCTGTTTGTGTTTGCTGGTGACTGAATTGTGCTTGAGAAGCCAGAAATGTGAGGCTTGCTTTTGACCTTCTGACTGTGATTTCCTTGGAATAGTATTGTATGCTGTACAGAGAATAAGTATTTTACATAAGCAATGTATTTTAGTATGTAAAATGACTAGGAAAATTGTCAGAAATTTAAATGTATTTTTATTTTGAAAATGTGTTATGTAAAGGATATCAGGAGAAAGCATTTGGATATGTTCTGACTTTTAACATCACAATGCTTTAATTAGGTGTAACTTCAGGTGAATTTGTATGTGCAGCTGTGCTAACTCTTACCTCACGAATAGATGGATTTTGGTTGCCTCGCTGGCAGTGACTTGGGTAGTAACTAGTTAGCATGACCCAGGGTTTGGTGAGGAGGGAGTTACCCTGTTGTGGGGAAGAGGACAAATGAGGCGGTGGAAGCAGATGCATAACATACATGAGGGAGCAAGAGTTTACACATGAACAGCTTTCAAAGTCAAAAGACAAAGCTGCAACATAGAGTTTCTGTTGTCAGGGTACCATTTTGATTTCTCAACTGACTTAGTGATCAAAATAATAGATAAAAATATATATAGGAGGGTGTTTGTGCTCACTGAATCCCTTGTAGTCGCAGAAGTAAGTTGGGGAATGCTTTACTGGAACTGGAACTTTACCTTGACATCACTACTTATCCCCAAATCAGACTCCAGGCATAGCAGCTGTAGAAATCATTCTGTTACCTATTTCTTCTTTATGACTCTCAGATTGCCATTACAGTCTATAGGAGGAAAAAAAAATCAGATGCAACCCATCTACGTATGTACATTAAAAAAGGAAAAGAAAAAGAAATGAAAAGAATCTGGGAGACTGAAATGCAGTTTGGCATGTGTAGGAGTGGACCTTTGCACTGCAAAACTGGACAGAATGATCCCATCTTCACTGAGGAAGGTTTTACCATCACAAAGTAGATGATGAGACGCTAAGAAGAATCCTAAGGAGACGGGGGAGGGGCAGGCAGGTCATTCTTTGGCTGTATTGACTTTCTGAAGACATAAATGCAGTATTTTTTTCTTAAATGGGAAGCAAATTTCCCTCATTGGACTCCATCTTTGCACAATGAGAGAGTATCGCATAAAACTCCCCATCAAGAACTAGAAGGGACCCTGCATGAAGGTTAGCAGTGAAGAATGGTTTTCTGAATCTAGCTCAGCTGATAACTGTGAAGACCACATGGCAATTATTCATGGGGATAGTGGCAAAAACGTGTGAGTACATTTTTAGGTGACTAATAGGATTGTCATGTTAACAGCAGTGCCTTATTGGATAATCAAAAATCAATCCCATTTACAGCATGCTTTGGGAGGTAAATGTGCTGGACAACAAGAAATAACTGATAGAATAAAGAATGAATAGCAAAAGTAAAATGAAATAGAATCCCCATGAAGGAAGTAGAAGTAACATTAGGAAATGTTAGATGGTTCAGAAATTCAACATCGTTCGACGTGGAGAACAAGAGGTTTTTTGTTGTGTTTATTGCTTTTTTTTCTCCTTAAAGTAAATAATGGACCACACATATATATTCAGGAGCAAAGCCCTGAGTTTTGGGGGTGACAGACTTTTTTGGTCTTTTCCTTCAAACGGCATGAAATCTGCCAATATAAAATACAGACACTTCTATGTTGTTCTAAGTGTTGCTCTGTGAGCATAATATAACCACAGATATGTGAAAATCTTTTTTCTTTTAGAGGAGAAAAAATATAAAAGTAGAGGTTATAGGGAGATAAGACTGGTGCTGTTGATGATAATTTTATAATATAATATATGCATTGTCAACACCTCATGCAGTGACTGACCAGTTATTTCTCTGCTTTCACTGTGGACTAATGTTAGGGTAATACTATTTTCTATTCACTGTTTTATAATGCTGGAACAAAGCTTGCACTTTTGCTGAGGCACAGATTTAATGTCAATAAAAATATGTAAATACAAATGAAAGGCATTTGCTTCCTTTTTTCAATCTATCTCATGTATTTGATATCATAGCAAGTGCATTTAATAAAACTTGGCATCAACAATGCGATTCTTCTAAGTTAAGTTGGTAAGGAGGTCGGACAACTCGTAGGAAGTGAGCCTACCCCTTATTCATTTGTTGGAAGCCCATCATGTTGGCAAATTCAGCCTCAGAAGAAGAAGTCATTCTAGAGTCTAATATAAGATTGAAATACAAATGGCCTGTTACAAATGGTATCGGGATTTTTGACAAGTGTTTTAGATGTTGGTAGGTTTATTGCCAAATACAGAAAAACTTAAAACATACCGGGAGAGGAAAAAATAAAAAGGGGAGGGGAGGGGGGTAACAAACCACAAGCCGAGTTTCTTGGCAATGACTATTAAATGGTTGATCACATTTATTTTACTTTGTTAGGAATGATTGCAACTTTAATATTGCACTTGGAATCTTCTATTTCTATATGTGCATACTGCTTTCCAGGAGAGGGCAGTCCATATCCAAGACCTAGGATCAGTTTCTTTCCATTATATCATTCATCCAAGAAATATAATTAGAAACTCGGACATAAACACCAGGTTTCATGGGTTGGGCACATCCAAGACCCCAAGAAGTGACTCCATGTTGGACAAATCTATCTTGGTCAAGACAGACTAGAGGTCCTCCGCTGTCCCCCTAAACAGAGTAAGAAAAAACAGAATAACTCTCAGTGACAGTTCAACATGCAAAGAGTGGAATTGTCACAGGAGGCACAGAAATAGAAATACCTCTTACACGTGAGGCCTACACATGTCTTAAAAACACGCCTGACCTTTAGCCAGAGAAGACTGTGGTGAACACTTTGCGACTTCATCTCTTCTTCTTACTCAAGAATAACATTTATTTTGGAAGTAAGGGGATTTGGTCAGAGGGAATCTGACTGCCCTTAGCAATTCTTAAACTTCCTCCTTCAGTCTTTTCTCTGAGGTGTTTATGGCTTCCTACTTTTACTAGGTGATCCAAGACAAACTGCGTGCACATGTTCAAACCATATTCCTAAGACATGAATGCGCATCGCCCCATGGCCTGCTTGCCCATCACAGATCTTGCATACAGGGAATCTGTGCTGCTGAGGCAGGTCAGCACTTGTTTTCAGACTTCTTTACAGAGTCATTTCTAGCTTTTCAGTGAGGAAAGTTTCCAGCTTGATTAATTTAAGAGCGTTTCTAAGACCTTTTATATACTTAAAGAAATTGAAGAATCTGTATTTCTGAAGAAAGCCTTCATACCCTGCTTGCTGGACATTATGGACAATTACCAACATTATCCTTACTTTTCAAAAACAGGAAAGCCTAGCATACAGTTTCCCTCACATGGAGTGATTTTAAGAGGCACTGACACCTATAAACAAGCAGTTCCTCTGGCCTCTGGTATGTCTGCATGCAGACAATGCATTGTTACTTGATCCTTAGCTGGGATGACTCAGATTGTTGATTAAGATAGCTTAGATATTTGAGATAGTCTAGCTGAGACAAGCAAAATGGTCTGGGAAAAACAAACCATTAGTCATTCTAAGCTACTTTTTGTACACTTAGCCCAGGTAGCCATGTACTACAGGCTCTAGGTTGTTCGCTTACCTGAAAAATTATTTTCACCACTTTGTAACAACAAGTAGGAGAGCAAGTGAAGAGCAGATTCTGTGTGCATTTTTTAGCTCTTATGCCACGTGGTATGGCACCACATAGATGCTAATTCTGAGCTTCTAAAGCCCAGAAAGCAGAGCACTGTCTGATTTCAGTGGTCTTGCAGTTGCCTTTGATGCACACAAACTTTCTTACCTGGCAGCTATCTGTGCCTCCATGAATATTCCCAGCACAGAGCTCATGATTGTTGACTCTTCCATTCAGAAATTCAGGGCGGTTGCATATTTTATTCTCAATGACAGGGAAACCAGTTTCTTTTAAGTAGCCATCTCCACCAGTTCCTTTGCAAATAAAAAAATAAACAAAACAAGGTAAATTAGAAGGATAAATGAGCATCATTATAGAACAAACCATGATAGGGATAAGTAGTAATGTAGTGGCACAGTCTTTGTGCACTGTGCGTTAAGTTTGCTGCACATAACATGAAGTGATACAAAAGTTAGTAGGCTTTAGTTAGTAGGAGTTAGTAAGAAGTCAGAGAAGGTACTGATGCTCTGCTCAAGGCTCTGTGAGAAGTTTTAAAAATGAAATTGCAGTTTGAGTGAGATCTGTGGCAATCTGGGAGAAAAAAAATCACGCAACAAGATAAGCATACTCACCTTCATGGGATCAGGAAAGAACTTTCCTTTTGTTTACTTAAATGCTTACTTTGAGGAAAAGTGGAGTGGACTGAGATATAAGAAATTGTAGATTCTTAGGTTTGATTTTCCTCTTTTTGTACGGGTTTAAGGAGTTTCAATTTACATAGCTCTCAGTGACAGGAAACCAGAGAGAGGCAATGAAAAAAACGAAGAAGCTGGTGAAATTTGGTAAAATATGTATCCATGCAAGTGCGAGCTTGTTTGTTTTTGTTGTTGTTGTTGTTTTCTGATTCATCCTGGATACAAGTATATACTATTTTCTTCTAGGCACATGGAGCTTTCAGAGGTGTTAAGGCTGTCTCACCTTTTGTATCCCCCCAGCCTGTCACATAGCACTCCTCTCTCCCTCCTAACACGGTGTTTTCTTTAGGCAAACAAACAGGGATTACATGGTCGTTGATGACAGCTGGGCTGGGAAAAAAAAAAAAAAAAGACTTATACAGGAAAAGTCGTTCGTGCATTTATCCTTGATACCAGCTTTGGCTTTCTTAGGAGATTTCATACACAATATTTTATTCTCTGAAATTTCTCTGAAATCCTGAGCTTTAGGCAAGGGTGGGGGAAGTGGCCATGAAAAAAAGGATGGGGTCACACTATCCTAACATGGCAGCTTTCACCTCTCATTATTTTATAAAGGTAAAAGCATGTTAGATGAAAGCTGTGATGGGCACAACCCGGCTCCTACTCTGTCACTTCTACCTTTCCACAGAGCAGCTGCCAGACCGGGTCCCTGTTCCTAGCTCTCCCCCTCTCCCAAATCAGTCCTTTTCCTTTCTGAAGCTCTGCAACTGAAACACCTTGGCTTCCCCTGGAGCTTCCACCTAAAGAGAAGAAAGAGAAGCGAGCGGAGGGCCCGTTCTTAGATAGCAGATTGAACCCATTGGGCATAGGAACATACATTCACCCCCACATGCCAGTACACACTGTTTGGTCAAAACACAGGCAAAATCCCTTGTCACATATGAGCAGAGGAGTATCTTAGATGAAATGGTACCTGCTCAATTTCAGCAGAGCAATGTCCACTCCACGTGGCCCCTTGAACAATTTTTCGACTTCTCGTTTTTGCACTGATGACTCTAAAGCTCTTTCTTTGTGTAATCCAAGGAATACTCTGTACGCAGATGGCCGTGATGACCTGTTGGAAATGTTTTCACATAGTGAGCTGATAAACGTACACCCAGGGCATGGGCCACTTATGATGTTGTTGGCCACCTTGTTATGTCAAAATCAGAAAAACAATAACAGCTTTGGCATAAACTTTCTCTCTCATTACTTGCACATGAAACCAAGGCTTGCTATGCCTATTAGTTGGCAAAAGTTACCCGTCACACATTTTTTTTGGTCACAGATTTTAATAAATGTTGAATACACTTGGTTCAACCCAAAACTTTCCAAGAGTCTACAGACGGTTAAAGTCAGTTATTGGGCCCATTTTATTTCTCCTCTGATTTTTCTATATCATGCAAAAAAAAATGGTGTTGCAGGTTATGACAGATACTTACTTCTCTAAACAGTGAGCAGCAGTAAGAACCCACTGTGGGTCTATGAGAGTACCCCCACAAAAATGTAGGCCATAACTGCAATACAGCACAAAGACAGGAAAAGCATGAGTTTAAGAAGATAAGTTTGAGAAGTTAATTCTATTGCACTGTAATTCATGAGGTAAACTGTCATCCTTCTGAAATGTAGGTCTTTACAATCCTATAAATCTATCCTATAGGTATTTATCACAGAACTGGAGCATTCCTTATATGTGAGTGACATTCTTTAAGATTATCACAGCATAATCATTAAATTTATGTCATGTTATTTTCAAGCTTTACTTTAAATATATTTAAGTCTTACGTTATTTTCAAACTAAAAGCAAGATTCCCAGTAGAATGTTGCAACAACTCCATAGCGTAACATACTATAAGACTTGCAGTTGATATTGTTTCCTGGTTCCTTGACTGCAAAGTCTATTGTAATGCAGAATAGCTATACCTTGTTCGAAGGCTGATTTGCCAGGGCCAGGAGTGTGGATTTGAAATACACCCAGCAACAATCCTTTGAGCACACAGCTTTGGTCTGAACTTGGCTTTTCCACACTCATACTGAGAAGGAGCTGCAGAATAAGAAAGAAATTACTATGGACAGATTCAAAGCATTTGCTTTGAACTCTGAAAAAAACTCTGAAGTGAACCCATTACATTTATCTCTTCACCTTTTGATCCCCTTTACAGGCAATTATACCATAAATCATGTAAATGTTGTTAGATTACCTTCATCTGGAACTCTTAAAATTGTCAGGATCTACTATGTTACTTTCAGTACAATGCCTGCAAAATTTTCCCAAGACCATTTTTCACTTGTGTATCAGTTGACAGGTGAGCAGCTGACAAAGAAAAGTGTTAAATTTGAAGAGAATTTGGATCTACAACGAAAAAAATGTGAAAATGTCTTTTTTTGCCCCTATGAAATCCAGCCCAATACTTTCAAGGCAGCAATAATTTTAAAAATACAGTATAGGTATGGAACATAAGTCTTTTTCTTGCTTGCTGCATTTGGGCCTTTTGATTAGAGATATTGAGATGTATGCTGTGGCTCACAGGAACAACTAAGAGGACACAGTGGCAATATTCAGGGCCAGATGCACTTCCTACCCATCGCATGTGGCATACCAGAGAAGGGGAAATCTGTTTTTACATCCAGGTCAGAATCAGAGCCTCGTCACCACTTTTTTCCCTGAAATTTTGTTTGAATAAGAGCATCTCCTGTTCAGGCTAGTCACAAATATCATAGCACTTGGTTATGCCAGGTGACCAAACAGGAGTTTGTTATTCTGTAGTAATAGCCTCTTCTAGAAACACATGGCAAAATCCCCATGAACTTCTGTGGGCTCCATGCTAATCTTGAGCTGCTTTGGGGGATTCCAAGGAATATCACCATTCTTAAGACTTTGAACAATGATTTTGAGCATCACTTTGCTGAAACTTAATTTCCAGTCTAAAGTTATTGCACGCTCTTAGATCAGTCTCAGATTAATCAGTGAATGTCTTCCAGCGTCCAGATAAGTTTATAAGAAAGGGAGACACTAGTCTTTAAAGGAATAATTACGGCACTTGGGAATGTCACAGTAGTCCCAGGCTTTTCTTGGGTCTGTTGTATAACACCAAGGTCCATTCACATCTCCATCAGGATTCCTGCAATACTGTAACAAAGAATGAAGACACCAGCTATTAATGGAGAGACAAAAAAGTCTATCAATGCATATTTCAAAATAGTACTGCATTACACGAGGATTTATTTTTCCACTTTCTTACTCATGAGTGATTCCTTATGCCTTTTAGCAAATGACCGTTGTGTTTTTTTTTTCTCTCTGTTTCCTCTGTGAATTTAGAAAGAGGACATAAAAATGGAACTGGTACAACTGTTTTTAGCCAGCAAAATCCACTGGGGCAAGCTAGGACCACTAAGTTCTCAGGAAGTAGAAGGGACCTAGAACAGGGTTTTCTAAAGCTCTAATTTGTCTCTTCATTCTTCTACTGAAGTTAGAAGAACAGTAGGGTCTTTTCACACCTTCTCTGCTTGTGTGACTGTGCAGCAAGCGGGTGCTCTGTAAACTGCTCTTGCACAACTGGGTGATGTCTATCCAACCCCCCTGGGGCACAGAGGAACTCTTCATTTCATCCTGACATAGGATATCCAGCTACCTGAATTACTCTGCTTCATTGGCCATGCTGACCAATCTCCATTCAGCATAGACACCTCACACAACTGCAGACACTCAGAGGTAGACATGTGAATTTAGGTGTGTTCACCTCAAATTGAATCTCACTATCTGTATGTGCCTATCAGACACTCTCAAATACAGCAAGCAAGAGCATTTGAACCCTATAACAGATCTTCTAACACAATTCTGCTCTTCTAGACCATCTTTACTATCTATCTCCTGCCCAGACCTAGTGTTCAGTAATGCAGAGAGGAGAAAGGCAAAAAGGAGGAGCATGGGCCACTGTCTGCCACATTGTCTGAAGTTGTCAGGGAAAGTACAAAACAGTCTGAACTCCTGGACTCTGATTTCGCCTTCTCAGTCTCTTTTTGATTTTAGAAATGCCATTAGATATTTTTATCTATCTCCCTTCCTTATTCTAAAACATATGTAATCTTTCAGCAAAAAGGAGATCTTTGCTTCCTTTCACAAAAGTCATTATTTGCTCTATGCAAGAACCAAAAAATTATGTCAAGCAGCTTTTTCAGTTTCCCCACTTTGATCTGGAATTCAGTACAGCCTATGTGATGCCATCAGGTGCTTGGTTAGAGCAAACTCCAAAATCATGCACCCGGAGAAGAAATAGTTCAAACCAGCAACATTCAACAAGCTTTTTGTGTCATATACACAGCTTGCTAAAACCAGGCAAGTATTGTGCAGGAGACATTACAAGTTTTAGCAGCTATTGTCTGGGAAAAGGAGACCTATAAGCAGAGGAGGTATATTAGGACTAGGGACAAGATGGAGGATGAACTGCAGAAAGAGTTAGAGGCATGTATATCCTTGTGAGGTGGCTTATGACAGAAGCTGGAGTGGTAGGTGGGAGGATGTTATCTGTAGAGAATAAGGGTTTCAACTCAAGGAACTCGCACTGAATACTGGCTCCCCCACTATCTCACCAAAACACTCAATGCCACTGAAACCTGTGATCTCCAGTTCCTCTTTCAAACAGAAATCTCTCCAGAGGCAGAGATACTGCCCACACCAATTCCAGATAGCTCTCACCCGTAAGAAGTAACTTGCAGTCTGAAGCCATTTGACAGATCTGCTGGGTATCTGTGTCTCACAAAAGTGGAGACTGCTTACATCAACAAGATCTGCCATGGTCACGTTCTTGGACTGAACTGGGAAGAAATTAACCTACAAAGACCCAATATGAAGTATTTGTGGAGGATTAATGAAGAATGGAAAAAATGCTTAGTGACAGTATTACATCAACAGCTGTTTACATTACTATCTAGGCCGGCATCCGGATGAGTTTGGGGAGTGAAATAATCATGGCTATGAGGTGTCTGAGAACTCCATGCTTGGCAAGTCCTGCCCCTTCCAGTTTTTGCTACTGTACCACGATAATCTCTACCATTACCATTTATACAGTCTGCAAAGAAAGAGAAAAAGGAAACAATTATTAGCCATGAGTCACTAGGTCACATACTTGATACTGGTGAAGCAGAAAGAAAATGTAGTAATTACTCTTAGGTCCAACGTATCCTATATTGTATTATACACAAAGAAAGAAGGCTAGGGCAGTGATAGTGATAGCTAACAATTACATTTTAATTCGTTTTTATTTTCAAAGCTTTCTTCACAATCATGAAGGTCAGCAATGAAAGGCAGCTTAGATTCATTTGCCCTATCATGACTTTTATAAAGTCTTTTTTTTTTTAAAGGGCACTCTCACCTGTCTACCACCATCTTTCATAGCCCGAATTACTGCTTTTTAACTAGCAGAACATGATGGAATAAAAACATGAAAACCACAGAAAACTAATCATCTACTGTATAACAAAACCAGCTGAATTTGGAAAGCCAGCTCTTTTTTAGTGGGAAACAGAGCCCTGGAAATGTAAAGGCATGGCACAGGAAAAGGCATCCCTGGAACAGCTGCCAGCAAAATACAATTGCTTCTGTATTAGTTGTAATTGCTATTAGCACTCCAACAGTAGTGTGGAGTCTACCAACCATCCGTTCCTTGAGTTTCCAATGTTTTTGTTGTAATAGATAAAATATATATCCATCCGAAATTGAATACAGAAATCCAGTTATAAAATTCTACAAGATAGTTCAGAAGATAAAGAGGAGGAATATAGTCTTATATTAAATTGCATAATTACTTAGAGTTCCCTGTTTTTCATCTTCATTAAATTCTACATGTGTTTTCCATTAAAAATACGTTTTGCTAGTTGCCAGCATTCTTGGGGGAAGAGAGGTGTATTCATACCAGGGTTTGGTTGCAGTGTTGTCTGAGGAGGTTTGGGTAAATTCACTTGCGTAGGATCATCACACCTCTTCAGGTTGCAGTACTCCCACCTCACACTGGGGTCAGTGGTGTAACACCATGGGCGGCTATCGGCATCTGGGTTTCTGCAATAATTCTGCCTCAGGTCCCTACAAATGTAAGCACATTGTATTCCTATCCATGTCAAAGCTCTGAGAGTGACTTGAAAAACATTTTAGAAAATAGGTGAGGTATAGAAGTGGCATATATATTCATTTTTTTCAGGTATCCCAGAAATCCTTTTTCTACTCAGCAAAATAAAGGAGCATTTGCAGAATACTTAATTGTGCAAATATATATTCACGGATTAATGCTTTTAATAGCAGTTTCCAAATATGTATAAGCAAATGTTCATAAACGAAAACACTGCATTCTTTTTACATATTCAATTTTTTTTACACATTCTTTTTTTTGGTGTTTGGAATAAATAAATACTAAATATAAATACTAATAAATACTAAATATTACGCTTAAGCAAATAACCCTTTCCTCTACAAAACTACAAACCAGCAAGCAAAGACTTATACTCATGAATAAACTCGAGAGTAGAAATAGTTCAACTCAATGTATGAGAAAGTTTATGATAACTATTAACCCTTTTCAAAGTAAAATAAAATTATTAAATAATAATCTAAAACATAATAGTGACACCTGTGGTCTGATTTAAAGCTGGAATGAATAGAAAATCTTAACATTTTTTTTTAGATAATGAAAAGAATCATTTTTGTGGAATAGACTGCCCCCTTCCCCACTATAAAATCATTATTAAACAAAGATCCTGCAAATAAAAATGAGTCCATTAAGAGTCATTGTGCAGTAAAATGCAGAAAGGTGAAGTGAACATACGCGTTTGGGAAGTGTTCTGCCGTTTTATTGTGGCGATGTGGTGACATTGAGTTCCAGGCTTGACATTTCTTTCCCGTGACAGTAAAAGAACTTGTGCCGCGATAACTCACACCATTGCCTCGATAGCACTCCTCACTAATTTGAGCCTGCTCAGGCACATCAACAGCTGTAGTGAATAACAGAAACCAGTCCCTTGCATCTTAATGCTTTGATATTTATGCATGAGCATAGAAAAAAAAAAAACACAAAATAAAATTCCAGAATTCTGACTTTCACAGGATGCTCTCTCTCTATGAAATCTTACTCAGACTATTTACCCAAAAGGAAGATTTCAAAAACATTTGTGGGAATGTCAAGGATTGCTTACATATGCAAGATTCAATAAAGGCACATCATTTCTATTCTATTCAATAAAAGCACATCACATGGTTTATTTCACTCAGAGCTCCAGAAATGTTCAAATTTGGATCTAAATTTCACAAGAATAGGGAATGCCTGTGGTTTTGATACCAATCTGTGTGTGGAGTAAGCTTTTCTTTTATAAGGAGAATTTCCTTTAATTATTTTTTATGGAGTCTGTGTTTATTGCCCTTAAATTATCTTAGGTTTTACTTTGAATTGATATTTCAGTAAGGGGCAAACGACACTAATTATCTTCTACAAGTTGCATTTAAAAATTTAGGGGTGCTCAGAAACACCACTTGGTAAATGGAAAGAACTGCATTACTGTATTTTTTCATAAGCTGGGTGGTCCGTTGGTGACTTAGATTTTCTTTGCACTTTTCCACCAAACTAAAAATACCATCTGGGCTCCACACCAGGCCCAGGAGTTCCACTGATATAGAACAATAATGAGAATGAAAGCAATAATACAACTGATCAAAAATTCACCTGATATTTTCGAAACAAAAACTCAGGATTCCTAACTTCCATATTGTGGATGTCTTTAGTTATGCTTACCAGGGGTCTGTGACTCTGGTCCATCACAGGAAGGTATGGTGCAATATTCCCACCGAGCGGTTCTGTTGGTGGTGTAACACCATGGCCTCTGCTCATTATCAGGATTTCTACAATAGTTTTCCTCTAAATTCCTGAAATAGAAATTCGAATTAAAAAAAGCATCTCATAGAAACATGACAAAAGAGGGGAATGCACATTGCTACCCAGTTGGCTGTTGTATTTGCAAGCAAATAACTGCTACTGTCACTTACTGATGATTTGGTTTATGGATCAATAACTGCAATGCAGTGGTGTTTTGGAAATGGACAGTCAGATACTTGCTAGGCTGACAGATATACTGAGAGACTGTACTTCACCTAGTACTTTGAGCCTGAAAGAAGTGTATCAGAAACATAGCATGGAAGAATCTAACCACAAGGGAAGATCACCATTATCACTTTCTTAGTCCATATTGCTTCACCTGAACAAGAATAGAATAAAAGGATAAACTGAAGACAGGCAAAGACATTTAAGAAGAGCCTGAAAGCCAAAAGAGGGGACACTAATGCTCAAGAATAAAAAATCAAATTAAAAGTGAAAAAAAAGAAAACTGAGAAGGAGGAGTGAAAGAGGAAATATGTTGTAATGTAAGAACAGTAGAACTGTTATTTCAACAGAGTCGGAGAAAGATGAAGCAACTCTGTGCCTTGGCACTGCTCATGGACGCTGAATAATAAAGAGGTTTCACTTACTTGCAGGGGTAGTTTTCAGGAGTGCGAGCATGTTTGTGAGGAGATTGAGCACTCCAATGCTGACAGGTATTTCCCGACTCTGTAACAGACACCGTGCCTTGGTAGTCTTCTCCTCTTCCTGACAGACACTGACGCCCTGGTTTAGGGATCGGTGGGGGTGTAGCTGTGCCAAAAAAAAGGAACTGACATTAAGCAGTGTCTTCTAAACATGTAAAAAAAAATCACTTAGACTTTTATAGTTAAATTGGAATTTTTTACAGGGAGGGAAAATTTTTTACAGGTAGGAAAAAATATTTGGAAGCGTGAAATGTAGAGAAAATACTTGAAACATTTTCACAAACTCAGTCAAATCAGATTGCCAGAAGGTCATTTCCATCCACTTTTTAACAGCATCCCACCAGAACAGAGCTGCAAAATAAGCAAATGGCAATATTGTGAAGAGATCTGGGATGAAAGTGATGGGTACATCAGAAATAGATACAGGCTATAGGTACCAATATAAAGAAAGATGTACTCTAGCTGGTGAGAGCTAGAGACAGTGAGGATGAGGTCTGGAGAAAAGTACGGCAGCAAGGACAAGCCTTCAGCGGAAAGGAAAATCTAAAAACGGAGAACTGAACCAGAAGACCAGAACAAAGATCAGAAGATTTTCAGGAGACAGCTGGTCATGGAGCAACACAGACACACACACACGTTCCAGGCAAAATGACTAGAAATGCTTGTGACAGAAACCTCTACCTAGGAGCTACCAAAGCTCCTTTTTTTTTTTTTCTTTTTTTTTTTGTTCAAATTGAGCACAGTCTTTTAGTCTGTATTTTATGCTTGAGGTCTCTCTTATTTGTTTTAGATCATTGCAAAATAGCCTCTCTGTGCCCAGATCTCTGTAAGTCAGACTCACTGCAACGAGGAATGTCACAATATTCCCAGCGTTTAGTGGGGCTGGTAGTGAAGCACCAGGGCCGAGGTTCACCATCAGGATTACGGCAATAATTCATTTTCAGATCCTTCTCTGGAAAACTGAACAGAAGAAAATAAAAGTAGAAGTCACTAAGGACTGACTGTAATGACTAGTGTGTCTGTGGCAGAGCGGTCTTCCAGCGACCCTGAAAACAAATTGTTCAACACCGAGTCCCACTCACTTTTCAGGGAGGTATCCATGAGAGTGAGGTTTCTGGGAATCCCAACGCTGACATTCAATCCCAGAGACTGTTGTTGAAATTACTCCATGATAGTTTTCCCCACTGCAATGCATGCACTCCACTGTACAAACAAGCCAAAATGAAGCAAAAAAAGACAGAAAATCACAATGGAATAAGGCTGTAAACATTCACATTGATCTCACCTGAATATCAAGAGCCTAGCCAAAGTGCACAGCTGAAGGACAAGGCCTCTTTGGCAAAATAAAATCTTTTTTTTTCTTTTTCCCACAGGAAGATGTCTCTAACTAGTTAATCATATCTATGGTATTCTAATTAGCAAAAAGAAAAAAAAAAGGATTGTATTTTTAAAAGGAGCTAAATTAAAATTATTTAATTTTAAAATCTGTGACTTGCTGCTATCATGTTTTTGACTTTTGCAGTAACAACTGTAATTTGGCCCAATTTTAGAAAAGTAAGAAAATAAAGTAATATACCATCCTTTAACCAGGGAAAAATAACTTGTATAAATTTTTGGAATTTTGGGGGGGATTATCTTCCTTGTTCGTACTGAAAACCCCTTAAAAATTCAATGTTGAACTAAATACAGTTTTGGAATAAATGTTAACTTAAAACTAAAACTAAAAATAAATCCACCTTCTTAAACACGTCTTCAAAAAAAAGAGGGAAAAAGAAAGATATATATCCTGACCTTCACACTCTGGAATGTTACAATAATCAAATCTGGTAGCAGGATTTGTTGTGTAACACCAAGGTCCCTTTGCATCATTATCGGGATTTCTGCAGTAGTTTTCCTCCAACCCTGCATCGGGATATTTTTCAGGTGTGTAACTGTAATAGAATTCAAATGGGATTAGACAATCAGGGAAATGTCTTGGTTATTCAGGTGGTTTTGATCTGTAGAAATGAAATCTCTATCTGAGGACCATTTTCTACACGACCTTCATTAGAAATCTCCCTATTACTACTGAGTGCCACAGGTGACAAGTTAGAAGCATCATAGCTAAAGATTTCAAGAAATATGTTGTCTCAAAGGCTAGTAATGTTTTTAATATTTACATTTACACCAGATATTCAGCTTCCTGTACCTTTTGTTCAACTGAGGTACTTTTTAACACACAGAGGAAGATCTCTGTTAGCACATGTTATCACATGCAAGGTGCCCTCTGTAACCTGAACTCTGCGTTACGTCAGTAGGAGGTACTAATAGTCCACAATAGTCCATGCAATTAATCCACGAATTCACTGATAAAATAATATGCCTCCATCTTATCTGTCACATTTTATGCCTTAAGACAAGAGATGAAAGTCTTGTCCTGCCTGGTGAAATTAAAAAAGACTTATTTCCCTTCAACAAAATCAGGTGCTTCCCTGTCCAGTGTTTTGTTTGTTTAAGGACTAGAAAATTTAAACCCAGCATAGCAAAACTGACAGTGTACCGTTCGATCATGTAACCTCAACTACAGTTCTCCGAGTTATGAGTTAGAGACATATAAGCATGGACAGTTATTTCCTAAGAAGAACTTGAACACCAAACAGTCTGTCTATAAACTTACTTACTACATGCGAACCACTTAGAGAAAATCAGAAAAATATATAAGCAAAGATGAAAAAGGCATACTTTGGCTTATGGGGTGCATTATCAGCCCACTTCTGGCATTGCACACCCGTCTGTGTTTTGGCTTCTGTTCCTCTGTAATCCACCCCGTTTCCCTTCTTGCACTCTAAAAGATAAACTGAAATGGCACACACGTGATTAACTGGTATCATTGTGTTTCTGTCAGAACTAAGCATACACAAGATTCCTTTTTCATGCTAACACGTTAGATATATTTAACTATACTCCAAGTCTCTTATGTCTTTAGAAACAGAGAGATGGTCAGTGTTGAATTAATTAGTATTGAAAAATTTATGTGAAAGCCCAAAGCTCTTAAATGAGAAGTCCTGGAGAAGAAGATGTAACAAAGTAAGGCTATTTTGATTTAAATCAAGATAGATTTGATTTAAATCAGTAGATTAAAATTATACAATATGTTTTATAGGCACCATAAAAATATGAAAATAATCTCTTTTTATTGCCTCAATGATGTTATTATAGTTATGCTTAGTAATTAAAATTAAGCCTTAAACAGAGCTGTTCAGCCAAAGAAGAGAACAGTACAAAGTCATGGATGCATAGACACAGCATTTTACCAGTTTAAAAGTTTAGTGTTTTTAACTTGATCCCACTTGTTACCTTCATACAAGTACACATGAAAATGTTTAATTAAAGTTCACCTTGTCATGAATTAAATTTCATTAATGCACAATATTATGCCGAAACAATGACTCTCCATTTGTAGCATAAGACTGACAACTGGTTGAAGATACACATTACATATACATTGAGAGTTCTTAGCTTTTGGAAGTCAATAGTGCTTCACATAAAAGAGAGAGAGAGAGAGACAGAGAGAGGGAGAAAGAGAGAATAAATAACATTATGTCTTCATAGAAGTTAAGGGGAGCTCTTATTCCTGACCTCAGTTGGTATTGGTAAACTTGAAAACATAAAACAATAATGAGAGCTGAGGCTCACATGGTCATTTCTTCCAGGCTAAAAGAAGAGGCAATCATAACCACATGACAGCCCTCCAGCCACTCCTGGGAAGACTGAACTGTCACCTTTCCCAACAAAGCATTCACAGCTAAGACCGAGACCAGCTATGTAACGGTCAGCTCCACCAGGGCACAGCTGAAGGAAATGAGATTTCTGCAGATCACTTCAGAGCTTAACTATCTCTGGTTTAGGAAGAGTCACTGCCTGGTAGTGTGGCCTCTGGAGGCTCATCTAATAGCTCCTTTGTCTAAAGTTGCGTGTTGATATCATAGTGCTCAGAAGTAATACTGGCTTTGAATATTCCCAGCTCACCACAGCTATTTTCCCAGGGCTTCATTTCATTGCTTTCACAGACATAACTGGGTAACTGTTGACAGAGCCATGCTGTTGACAAGATATAGCTTGAAGGAAAAGTTGGAAAAAGTCTCACGCTGTACTCCAAAACTGCAGCCTTAACCAAGATACAGAGAACAAGATGTAAAATAGTGAGGAATGTCCATCACCCAAATCTAAAGCTGATGAAAAACCAGCAGACCTTCTGATCCTTACTCATTTGCCCTAACATAGATCACTTGCAGAAATGCCACTCTGTGCAGGACTCATCAGTACAAAACATATATAAGGAATGAACATATCACAAAAAGTATCTATTGCAAGCCTGCTCCACAGTGCTGGTTTGTACAGCTACAAATTCATCGTCTCTGAGTCAAGAGTCCTGTCATCTTTGTTTACTTTTCGAACAGCTAGTAAAAGTTAAATGCTAAAATCAGTTGTTGCTATAAGTCCACAATCCAAACAAACTGGCCATAAGATTGACAAAACTTTCTTAATGTCATTAGCCATTAGTTTAGTAGCAATATAACAAATTGGTTTTGTCAGACCCTTCTTTTTTGTTCACTGAAGACAGACTTTACCATGTATTTAATTCTATAAAACATAGACTGAATTGAAGGAAGATCCTGATTTTATTTTTTTCGGAAACATTCAGCAACCCTTACTGCCCTCCACTCAAAATTTCCCTCTGCACCGTTCGTATTTCATCAGCCAGTTTCTCCCTTCTGGTTGCAATGAAGAAATCTCACTTCTGGTTGTGACAAACAGATCTATCTTGACAAAAGTGGAAAGAATTAATGCACAAATTTGAAATCACCCAGATCTTCTGTAGGTCGATAGGTAATTTAGATCTGAGTATCTGGGCCTATCTTTAGGACTGCCTTCATTTCAGTAAATTCAGGCAAATTCACATTTCAGGCAAATGTGTAGTTTACTGCCGAAATATTAATTGGAAGCCATTAGGATTCCTCAAGAGTTTTGCAATAAATTAACATTAAAAACCCTGAATCAGTCAAGTGCTGACTCTTTCTGTTTGCACAAACTTGTGACCGTTTATATAACCTTTAGATTTCTTTCTGTCTGATGACAAATAACCAGCTTCGATTCCGAACTCAACCCATGTCTGCTTGGTTAACGATTTACAAACGGGTATAGGGATAACAACTTAAAAATGCAAACTTTATTATTTCTTATTACTTTTTTCCTAACACAGAAAAGGTTAACCTTCTGTTTTACACACAATAGGATAAATAATTAAAAAAAAAAAAACAAACAAAAAAAAAACTGATTTTTGCACCAAATGGCATCCACTTCTTTGAAAGCAAAAATAAAAATAAATAACTCTCAAATACTACTTGCTTCTGGTCAGAAAAAATAATGCTCATTTCAGCAACAGCACTGCAAAAACATCTGGACACCTGATAGGAATTTCCTTGAAATATCAGGGTAGTAGCAGCTGCTTGGAGCTCTACCTAAGTAAATGCTACATTTTGTCTTGTGTTCTGTAACACAAGAAAATCAAATTGATGTTATCCTTAGAATGGATAAATGAGTATCTTTTATTAAGGAAGGAAGGAAGGAAGGAAGGAAGGAAGGAAGGAACAACTCTATCCTGCTTTGCACTGGAATCTTGGATATGACACCTAGCTGTAATGAAAAAGTGCATAACCAGAAGAGAAAACAGAACAATTGAAATGAACTTCATTTTTGATGCTTTTAATATATAGATTAATCTTTGATTTCTGTGGGTATATTTTGGTTAATCTTTTAATTTCTGTAGATGAATGTGAAATAATGAAAATGACTTTACATTCATTTCTCATGGATAGCAGGAGTGCTCAATTATGCAGTTCAAAAATTGTTTTAGAACCCGATCATATGGCTGCTTTTGGAATATGGCAATAGATGTTTTTCAAAGATGCTCAAGAACTTGCATGTTGGACATTTCTTAAAGACTTATTATCTTCAGACAGAATATCAGATCGAATACACTTCAGCCAAATCAACTCCATTATGACAAAACTGAGTGCCCAAAAAAATAAAAACACATACTAATGGAGAATCCAAAATATCATGACATTCATTAATTACATTAATTAAAAAGTAGATTAGGATAAGAATTTCACCAAATCTCATTAATTAAAGAGTAAAAACATCCTATAGTAATATACAAATACTATAAAAATAGATGATTTTTAATAGAAGCATAGTTAATACCCATAATCCTTCCAACAGTGTATGAAAATAAAACAATATTGATTTGAGTCCTCCCCAGTAAACTGTGATTTTTCTTTAGATATATATGTGAAATTTTCTGGTAGTTCTCATCAGGCTTTCAGTGGACAAAGGTCCGTCACAAAAACCATCACCAGCACAAGTTCCTAGAAACCTCTGCAGAGGCAGGAAGATGCAGATGCAGCTACAGCTTATCAGGATTGTTTTAAAGAAGCATCTTAAGCATCTGAATTATTCTGAGCACCATTCCTATTCCCAAAGCAACAGTGTCTTGTGGATCCTCCTATCCACATTTACGTACTAGAAAAAATGCTGGACTTCTGATTTGGGAGGAAGCTGGTACCACTTCATTACCAGCCATTGTGGCAAGAAACAGTGGTAAACGGAAGGCTGACCTGTCCTTTCCACACGACCGAGGGAGGACTCAGCTCCTTGTTTTTACAACAGGATTATGCGAGTCCAACTGGAAATCAAAGCTCAGTGAAATAATACCGATATAAAGACATACTTCTTTTTTCATAGAGAACTGCATTTGTCCTTCTGAATATTACTGCTCTTTTGGTGTTCTCAGCCAACGTTAAACACTGTTGGTCTTTACTGGTGAATAAGAAGGCCCTGTTGAAATTAAAAGAAGAGACCAATGTAAAAAACAATAATTGAATATATACATTGTACTCTTCTAGTGTTCAGTTATGAATTCAGAATTCTGAAACACATCAGCAAGTATAGGATTCAGTAATGTTTCTCAAATCATTGAGCATCCTAGCTCCCATTTTCAAAGGCGACTTTGAATTCTAAGTCTTTATACCAAATCTAGGTTGAAAGGGAGCTACAAGAGCAAACTACAGCAAGGGAAATAACAGAAGACTTAAAATGTACCAGAGACTGGGGAAGACAGCAAATGCACAAAGGACCTTGACCTTCTTTCAAAAAAAATTAGCTGTCATCCAAGAAGCAAAATATTCTGCAGTAAGTTGAAGCACGTCAGCAGTTACCAAGGAGTAGGAAAAACACAACAAGCCAGCACCTTAATTTACCTCATGATAACTGCTCTGTCTCTTCATACTCAAAGCAATATAAGCACTTTGGAAAATACTGCTATTTGTTTACTCAGTGAATACTTAGTTTATAAGACATCCTGTAAAACTAGAGTGGATGGTGTAACCTGTACATTATTATTTAGGGAAACCTGACAGGCTAAGCAATTTCTGTGTCTGCAGTTTATGAACCAATAATGAACAACAGCAATACAGTAGTCAGTCATTTCTTTAAAATAAGTGCAATTTCCCCTTTCGATGCTGTGTATCCATCTTTTTAGATTTAGAATAGAAAGTTATAGAACATGTCAAAAACTCAGCAGCAGGGTATCCCTGCCTTGAATAAAAACCCTGATAGGGGATCAAATGATGGAAACAACTCTGCAGACAACTTTGGTCAGAGTTCTAAAAGTGTCCACAAAACTGGTAGATCTAGAACTCATGAAGATTATAGAAGAAAACCACTCCATTCTCACACGGGAGAACAATCGCCCACTGCATTTAAGATTATTCCCATTCATTACTACTAATGCCTACTTTACTGCTGAAGTTCACTGGGCTCCACTGGGAATTAAGATTACAAAAGGTTTCACTAAGATAGGAGCCTGAGCAAAGGACGGTGGTAAGGACTGGCCAACGCCTTCTGCGCTCCCAACCCTCTGGGCCTGGTAAAATGTAGTTGCAGAGAGAGGGCTTGAGTGGAAATAGGATTTGCAACAGTCAGATGATTAAGGTTTAGATGGCTGTCTATTTCTCAAATTGAACAGAAGTTGCATAACTCTAGTAAAACTCAGAATAATAGTTAATCTGCAGAGTAACTGGCAATGCAATGAACCTAAGCAATGTCATTACGGCTCTACTAATTCCAGTGAATTATTTATGACTGTTTATGGCAAAAGGAGCATAAAAGCATTTATCAAACCACATCCAATGTGCCTAACTGTGCATTAAGATATCCTAATGTTTTGCAATAAAAATCCAATATAATTTTTGAAATTTCCTTATCAGTTTCTCTTCACTCAAATCTTCCAGGCGTTCAATCTTTACACATCTTTTGTCTTTCTCACAAACTTTGGAAACATATGCTTCTAAAAAAATACCTTCAAAAGTTTGATCAATAAATAAGGTCAAATACTTCATTATCTGTGATGAAACCTATGGAAATCAGCAGAAATTACCTGCAAATAAATTTGTTTTCAGTTTCACATTGCTTCGCACATTCTTCTTCACTACTTGTCTTATAAATTTGCTTCTTTGTGCTAAGCAGCCAAGCCCCCTCTGTTCTTACATAGCCATCTAATGTGTCTCCTAGTGCTAAAAAAAAAAGAGAGAAAGAGTTAAAAATGACAATACTGATACTAACACGGTTTATTTCAAATTTTCTTGTCAAATTCTACGTTATCTCAGTAGCATCACTTAATTACAGTAATACAGGGTTAATGGTGACAAAATATGGGTAAATTTTGTGTCCCCTAATATGTTGAAGGGTTGTGTCACTGAAGCAGATGTCAGAAAACACAGTGGAAGGCAGGACAGAGATGTGGCTTGAACAGTGTTTTATATCCTTTTGAAAGTCGTAAAAAGCAGCACAAACCTAATGGATTGGTGGGAATAGAGAAGAGGACCCAAGGAGTGAAAAAAAAACCCCACAGTTTCAATGACTGAAATAACCAGTAGTCCATATTTTGGATAAAGTGGAGAAATGGGGCTCAGAGAGGATGTGAAACAATGACTGTCCAATTCTGATAAGTACTGATAAGAAATATCAATCATTTCATTTTTATCAGACACATCATAGTTGCTTCTCTTCAGAGGGTTATGCAAGGAACAAGCCACCCCGTCATTGGTGTTCATATTTGCTGTTCTTGTAATAACTCCATACTTGAGTTCATATAATAATCAAAGTAGCAGATGTTATTCTCCACTGGAATGAATTAACACAAGACAATAAATTAGTAAGTAAATTAATCAGACAGCCTGTGAGCTACAGCTGCACATGAAATATATTAGATGCTAAAAAGTACAGCTATATAAATCCAATAACTCCCCAAACACTAAACTAACACCCTTCTTGTGAAGAATCTTTTTCTATTTCATCTATTCAAATTCGGATATCAAGCTATTATTACCATCACTTCAATGATTCTAGAAACAAGCTTGTGGAGTTGCCCAAGATGTGTTTTTTCACAGTTTCTCTATCAGATGAAGATATGACTGTACTGACGTTTGGCTCTGAGAGTTCCCCAGTCTGAATGGTTTCAACCCCAAACACATACTTTGCCCATGGTCTTTGCAACACATCACAGCCCTGCTCTGCACACTCTTCTTGTGCTTTGCTTTATGCAACTGCTGGACAAAAGTCATGGGGAGGATAAGGCTCTGGCTATCCTTATGGGTGACAGCTAATCCAGGAAAGCAGCAGAGGCAGACTTCTTCCTCCTTTCTCTTCTTCTGATGCTTTGCTTTTCAGCAGTAGCCCAATACCAGCGGAAGAGATAGAAAGCAGGCTCATCCCAGCTTGACCTCTAGCTTGTGATTAGGGGACTCCCCAGGGCCATACGGTTAAATATCCATTAGGTTGAGGAAGGCTTAGCAACTAGTACACTTTCTTCTGGTTTGACACATAGGCACAAATGTTCCCTGATCCAATTAAATTCCTTCACCCTCATCCTGCAAATTAGTGCAGTTCCCAATCATTTTACACGACCAAGACAAAACTAATGAAGTAGACCAAGGGCCAAATTATGCTTCCTCTCATACTGTTGCAAACACAGAGAAGTTCCTGGAGAGTTTCTGCTGGAAGTATGCTGTTGCAGAGTAGGGCAGAGTTTGGCCCTGGGTCCCTAGTCTTTTGGGTTGATAGTTTAACAGTATGCAGGAAAGAAAACAATAGCTAAGAAAAACAAAATACACTGGAAAATGATAGAATGAAATTTTAATATGAGAGGCACAGGACTCACTGACTCCAGTAGTTATTTCAAGCCAAAAAAATGAAACAGAATTAAATTAGAATGAAATCATTTTTTAATGTAGAAGAATGCTGCAATTCTTTCCCCAAAGGACAAGGAACTAAAGAATACCTAATACATTAAAGGGTGGCTTCCAAGCAATCTTAATTTTGTTCTGATCTGACACTTCGACTTGAATCATTATATTTAGAGCACTTAATTTCAGAAATATTGGTTTTATTTGGGTCATAAAAATTTATTTTTCCCTTTTATCTTATGATTACATGGTAGAGGACAATACTTTGAGAAAAATAAATATATAAATACATGTAAAAACAACTCAGTAATTTTTCTTCCTCCCAATTTTTCTAAGCTTTTGCAGTTCTTCAGTGTTAAAAAGATGTATTATTGCCTTATTCAAAAAGGCAAATATTTACAGAAATTTGATGAAGAATTTGCAGGAAAAGCAGACAACTGCAGACCAAAAAGCCCAAATCCCGTAAATTCCTGTCCACACACATAAATATTCAAGAAGTATCTTTTGACTTGAATGAGCCTGTTCACCTGAGAAAACACTGCTTAGAAACTACAATTTGAATTCAAGTTATCTGTTACATTAAATAATCTATCACATGTTATTTTGAGGCATGTCTAATATTGCTATTTCTAAAGCTAACCCTACATCTAGATGCTATAAGTCTATCCATTCATTTTAGTAACGTCTCCAACCTCTTTTATATTTTGCAACCACACAAGACAAATTTGTATTTTATTATTGTTTCTGCATATGGTGCTGGCTTACTTATAACTATATATTTAACTGTATTTGCAATTGTCCATTCATTATACAAAACACCTAAATGAAGACATGCCATCTGAATTCCCTAGTAAGTTCACTGTTTTCAGTACAAAGACTATTTACTTGAACTTTCTGTAAGAAATACAGTCTATTAAAACACAAAATACACATTTAAAGAGTTTTACTTAGCTTTACAGAGGATTTTATACCACCTTACACAAATGTGTTTTTAAAGCATCTAGCTTACTGCAGGTATTAATACTGACCAGATTTTGCCCCCGTCCTGTACCAAAATGAAATGATTATTTTCCCTGTAAGATTTTGGCTATGAAAAGCGCTGAAACTTTAATATAACTAAAGGCACCCATTTCAGGGACTGTGGTGGGCTCTGCAGCAGATGTTTGGGCTACTCTCCGAGGGTGTCCCCAGTCCTGGCTGTTTGGCAAGACTGAAAGAAGACATTTGTTCTCCACGCAGATGCTGAGGACTGCACTGCTGCTCTTCCTCTGCCTCTACAAACACAGCCTCACTGAGCCCCCTCCTTTCAACCTCTCCTTGGTTTACTCCACAGCCACCCTTGCAGGCCAGGCACCCCGACATCCAGTGGCATACGGGTACGTGGAGACACATGGATTTTGGGACCTACCTTTGCAACATGTAGCTTACGAGTGTTGGGTCCCCATCTCCCCTACTCAAGAGGAAGGCAAAGGACTCTTACCTGAATCGAGTAGAAGAAGAAAGAGGAAGGCAGCTTTGCTAATCCCCATTCTGGTGCAGCCGGGGTGCTGGAAGCTGTGTGTGTCAGTGCACAAAGTTTTATTGACTCACACAGGAGTGAAGCAGCATCAAACAAACAAGGCACTTGGGTTAAGTTAATCATTCTCCTACTTTGTGACCCCCGCTTTTGCCATAATATGGGTGTTCAAACAACCTTGAATTGGATATATTACCAAAAAAGACTCAATCAATCATTTGTACTGGATGCTGTGAAATATTACAGTTCTCTCTCCTTTTTTTTTTTTTTTCCAGGAGCCAAAATCTGGTCAGTAGGTGCTTTAAGACCAATTTTGTGAAAATTGATATGAAATCATTCATAAAATGCTAAGAAAAAAGCAAGACATAAGTTCAATCCTTTGTTGTCAAAATTCATGTTTCCAGGCAGTGATTAAATTTCTCTTGACATTGTGCTCACTTCTGAGGTCTCAGTGGTAATTTCAGTGATGTGCATTTGCACTGATTTAGATGGACCGATTTCGTGTTTTCCTGTTTAATCTCAGGGTAAGCACTATTATCAGATCCAATTAATGTTAAGCCTGTGAGATAGATTAATTTTACTTTGTGATCAATTAATTATTTCTCTCTCACATTTCCTAAATCTAGGCATTTTCTTTTATTCATTTTGAAAGCAAGACTTAAAAGTTATTTTGGTTCAATATTTAGCATGCCATAACTTTAAGTCTATTAGTCATAGATAGCTGTTTAGTGCTTTCCTTCCCAGATAATTAAGCTAATGCTTCATGCTTAAACTCATGTGGTGAGGGTGTCAGACTTTGCTCGTCTATCTCTTACCCTGATTTCAACATCAGCTCATTCTGCATTTCCCAAGTGGCATTTGTCTGGAAAAGCTGCACCGCAGGACCCTTGTGTGGCTTCTCTAGCATGTTAGGTCATTGATAGAGCTTCAAAACAAGTTATTGAATCACATTTACATATGACTCACCAGTCATATGGGGACTGCATTCTGGATAAAGAATCACAGAATCACAGAATGGTTGAGGTTGGAAGGGACCTCTTGAGATGATCTAGTCCAATCCCCATGCTCAAGCAGGGACACCTACAGCACGTGGCACAGGGTGGTGTCCAGGTGGATTTTGAAGATCTCTATTAGAAGGAGACTACACAGCTTCTCTGGGCAGCCAGTTCCAGGGCTCTGACACCCGCATAGGAAAGTTCTTCCTCATATGGAGGTGGAACTTCCTGTGTTTCAACTTGCACCCATTACCCCTTGTCCTCACTGGCCACTACCAAGAAAAACTTGGTCCCATCCTCCTTACATTCTCCCCTCAGGTATTCGTACATATTGATCAGATCCCCTCTTAATCTTCTCTAGGCTAAAGGCCCAGCTTGCTTAGTCTTTCCTCATACGATAGATGTTCCAGGCCCTTAATCATCTTTGTTGCTCTACACTGGACCCTCTCTGGAAACTTCACGTCCCTCTTGTACCGGGGAGCCCAGAACTGCACACAACACTCCAGGTGCGGTCACACCAGAGCTGAGCAGAGGCACAGGATCTCCTCCCTCGACCTGCTGGCAATGCTCTTCCTGATGCAGGCCAGATCCCATTGGCCTTCTTGGCCACAAAGGCACATTGCTGCCTCGTGGTTAACTTGTTGTCAACTAGGACTCCCAAATTTCTCTCCGCGGAGCTGCTTTCCAGCAGGTCAACCCCTAATCTGTACTGGTGTCTGGGGTTATTCCTCCCCAGATGCAGGGCCCTGCACTTGCACTTTTTGAATCTCATGAGGTTCCTCTCTGACCAGCTCTCCAACCTAACTCGGTCCCTCTGAAAAAGACTCTCATGAGTCATGAAGTTTAGTTTCATGCAGTTGAAGGTGAAAGTTCATAGAATCATGAGCTCCATCTTAAAACTAATGATATTATCCATGTTATCCATGCATAATGATGATATCGTTTATCTCCTCAGCCGGCATTGCTCCCTGCTGTCCCTGGACAAGTATGTGACCTCTTGAGGGCATAGTGCTTAAAATGTGCCGTTGATTTTTCTGTCTCATTTTGCCTCTTTCCTCTTTCTCCTTCTTCTGTCATAAGATCCATACACTGTCTAAATTTTTCTCCAGTTTTGATCTGGTAGTGTTTGTTTTCTTTTATTTAGCAACTGTGAGGCCTACCTTAGGTGGAAGTTTATCAGATCTTATTTCAGAGTCAGGGTACTTTAGTTAGCACAGTGGTTAAAATATAAACAACAGCAGAAGGCTTTTTAAATAGACGTTGACCCTTGAAATTAGGTTTACTGTAAACTGAGAAAAATCCCCTGCAAAATAGATTGTCAACAGCATCAGAACACAGGTCACAGTTTAGGTAATAAATTTACATAAACATAATTTTCTTAAATGTTGAATTCAGAAAAAAGACAGAAAACATTTTATCAGTTATTTGCTAAAAGTAAAAGGAACGAAAGGCAAGACTCAGCTGTTTGTAGGGAGTGATCTCACATTCCCTAGACAGTTGCTAAAGCTGTGGCGAGTGTGAACTAAAGGAGCTCTTCTAGAGTGTCATATTGTGGCATAGATCCATGGACAGCTGGGAAATAAGGAGGATTTTTTTTTACATTCATTTCAAAGACAGTGAGAATATGTTAAAAAAGAAAGATTTACATAGCCCTCATTCCTGGACCCTAAGTGTACTGGGACACAGAAGCCAGAGAGATAATATGGATGGCTTCTAAAGACACAAACATATAAGTAAGGTGGGAAATGGTTAAGGAATGAAGTTAGCGAAGTTAAAAATAAGATCTGTCCTTGCTTTAGACATAAAGGAATACAGAGGTCAGAACAACTGTTGAATAATTTCATCTCCACAGCTTGTGGCCATAGAATTTAATGTATCTGTGAAAGGAGAAAGTGACAGTCACAATGAGGTGAGATAGAGAGGATGTTCTTTTCAAAATAAAAGGATTTAGTCTTTGAGTCATTCACTTTTTCTGGCTGTTGCTGGATGCCAAAAACCGGTAGAATAAATTCAGATAGACATGAGAAGCAAAGGGGTTAGGAAGGGAACAAAGTGTGATCTTTATAGCCAGAAGAGCGAAAGAACTAATAACTGTATCTTCTGTATTGCAGAAAAAAAATATTTTGAAAATCAAGGACCCAGAACTGTCTTTACTAGAGCTGCAAAGAGGAAGAATGACATAGAGAATCTGTCAGCAGTCTTCACCGGAGAGAAAATACAATCTTCTTCCCTGCCTTAAAAGCCAGCAGCTGAAGAATACACTCAACTCCAAATATTTACTTGGAAATACTGCCCAATCCAGTAGCAATTGTATTTTGGCACTCAGTGTTGCAGGAACTCTTTGTAAAAGGGGAGCAATTTCATTATATCCCTGCTAAGCAGGAGGGCAAAAGCAGGTTGCCCTCTCTTTGGTTTCTAGAGAGGTGCTTTGGAGAAGCTGTGTCTAGGCTCAAAAATGGCATACAGTAGAGTGGCCGAAGAGGCAGCCTTGAGTCCTGTCCAAGTGTCCTAGCACATAATGCCCAACAGCAGTACTGTTTGGGGAAAAATGGTTCAGTAAGACCACTGCAGTGATCTCACTGCCTTCAGTCTTATTGTCTGTTGCTTTTGTTCTGCTCTTAATACACAGCAATCACCTTGTCACCTGATGATGTCAGTCCCTGTTTATATGTAGGGAGGCACAACAGACGTGGAAAAGACATTTCTAATAGGGCCTGAAATTCAATCTGTATGTCTCAATTTGTTTTGTTCTGTTTTCTTCATGGAGATGTAAGAAAGTGAGGCTGTTTTTGCATTCAGACTCCTCAAAGACTGGTGCCCAGAGGCTCATGGCATGCATTTCTAGGGTTTAGCTATTTGCAGTGATCCCTGCAGTACTATGTTGTTTACTGATGGCTCCAGCATCTAAGAAGAACTGGCATTGCTGTCAACCGTTTACAGATTCACTGAAATGGGACTAATGTTTATAGCTCCTTGCCTCTACAGCAGTCTCACAAATGTGGGACCAACCATGTCTACTTTCTGTATAATGTGTACATTGAAATTTTACAGCACAGTTTCTACTTGTTATTTATACAGAGGTTTATTTCCATGCTTATTCTTGACTTAATAACTTGCATAAAGGAAGTAAGATCTAACCAGTTTAATCACGTCAAGAAGAATGGGCAAGGAAGTAAATGATGATATATCCCACTCAAGACTGTGCTGAATGGGGTCAATTCAAGCCACTTAAGTCAACAAGGCTTTTACCCATATTTGAGTGGGTAAGAATATCACCTTCATCAGATTTAATTTAATACTTCAATTAGAAAAAATGAACAAATGTTATAGGTGTGGTTTTGTGCGTGCATGTGCATATATGGTTATGTGCAAAATAAAAGGTGATTTATGTCTAGAATACTTTCTCTGATGTCTGCTAGCCTCTCAGGCCATGGGTGGTTTCCCTAGAATCACTCAGGCTGGTGGGGAACCCACGTGCTCTCTAGTCAATCCAGAGAAGAGCAGCCATAATCATATTTTATACCAATATCTAATCATTTAATGCCTGTTATTTAGCAAAATGAACAAAACCTTGATTGTACCATAATTTTAGAGTAAGACAGTTATTTGCATTTCAGACTCTTTGCATCTGTGGAAGTCAAATGTCATTTTACTTAAATCTCCTAGACAAACTGTCAACCGCTTGCTACTTTAAATTGACATGGTGTTTTGCTAAGTAGATATTGCATGGATATCTTTGAGTACAAACTTTGGTGATTTTTGTGAGTTATATGAAAAATATTCAAAAATAGTACTGAAAACTATACAGGAGTCAATATATAGGAGGTAATATTTATAATAAGATTTCAGATTATTTGCAAAATTTCAGAATTTTCCCCACATTTCAGAAATGGCTGTAAGTTATAATAGGATAGTAGAAACAGGACTGAATATTCCAGATGCACTATAATGCTAGTTCACCACTGATGCTTTTTTGACCCAAAGTGAACATTTCCATATGTGCTGAGCAAGGCCAGCTAGTAGATCTGTAGCTTAACTTCAGCCTC